TTCAAAAATATTGTAGCCTACTTGGTTCTAAATAAATACATTTTATTTTTGTCAAAGGACCAGCGATCTTTTGTGTTAACCCATAAGAAATCATCACCTTTGAGTGATATTTAATATTTAAGTAACGTGGTGTAGTATGTCCAAATCACAACTGAGCCCGGCAATTTAGCGACGTTCACTGTCTGGGTAAAATACAATTTAACAAAACAAACGGGAATTTTTCGCGCTCTCGTTCGTCTAGTTTCCATTTCCTTTCATGCAATGCATGACGGTCCATATTGCTCAGATAGTGACCATCAGCTGTACACTACTTTTCATGGTGCATTGTGGGATATTTTGAGTGCACTATATAGGGTGTAACATTTGTAACTTAACATTCGGACACCCCTACAAAATGGCGTACACCCTATATAGTGCACTATATAGGGCATAGGGAGTGATTTCGAACACAGCCCAGGGTTTTGCTACTTCCTGGTTGACATCTTGGATTTTTGGAGCCAGTGACGCAAAAGTCTTTGGAGGGGGGTGGAACCATAGGAGCAGCGATTGGTCAGACGGATTGAGAGGCAGGCCCTCTCTGCCCGCCCACATTTACCGCCTTCTGCTGGCTTCGTCTGTATCGTCGCTGCCGACTGTCAATCAAGCCAGCCACGCCCCTTGCCCCGCAAATTTTAAAAAATTCAGTATTGATTTATTTTCAGATTGGCCATCTGATCTCTGGATTTGACTATGAAAACTAATAAGAAAAAAATCCTGAGCTGTAGGAATGCGGTATATCGTGATCTGTGATCACATCTTTTTCAATTCAAGTCTATGGGAGCCAGGGCTTTTTGGAGTCAGCAGCTGGCAGACGTAGGTTTTTGACACTTCCGGGTTGGCTTCATTTTTCAGGGCCGGTTGCTACGTCCATCTTTTACACAGTCTATGGTTAAAGCTCAAAGTAAATTTCACATAGAAGCAAGTGGATAAACGTGGTTTTAAGAAGTGATTTAAGAGAAACTACTGAGTCCACAAGCCTCATCTCCTCAGGCAGCTCATTCTGAAGTTGAGGGGCCTGGTGGAGAAAGCTCGGTCCCCCTTAGATTTAAGCCTCAAGTTCAGAACAACCAGAAGAGAACCACCTGAGGCTCATCAGAGGTCAACAGATCAGAAATGGGATTTGGGGGGAGACCCTGGCACACTTTAAAAGCGAACAGTAAAATATTTCAATCAATTCTAAAACGAACAGGGAGCCAGTGTAGGGAAGCTGAGGTGGATGTGATGTCGTCTGTTATAAGAAGCCCAGCTGCTGGACAAGCTGGAGGCGAGAGAGGGACTTATAGGAAGGCTACAAAGGAGGGAGGTACAGTAATCGAGATGGGTGCATGGGTAATTTTTTCCAGATCTGGATGTAAAGCATCAGCTTAATCTTGGAGATTGTTTTTATTTGGAGGAAGCAAGACTGGATAACTTCTTTGATATGGGGAGCGAGTCAAATAAAACACCTAGGGCCTCATGTACAAAGGCTTGCGTGAATTTCATACTGAAACCGGGCGTACGCTTCAATCCAGAAAACTGCTTACACACAAAAAAATCCAGGCAGGAGAAGACTGTGAGACGCAGTCGCAGCCTCGTATCAAAGACCCGTGGGATTCCTCCAGCCTCCCAAGCATCAGCCGATCCTCCGGTCCGCCGCAACAGCCAGCTGCTGATACCGGTCCGGGGCACACATGCTTTATGCGTGTCAGAGGGATTAATATTAGGACAATTAAATGATTTACTCAACAAGAAGCCACCCATCCCGAACCATGCCAGCTTGTAGCCTGTTCCCAACAACGCTGTTGGTCAGAATGAATGAATCCTGGGTTGATCCAGGCCACTTGGCAACAATGGTACTTAAATGTATTTGCTCATCACAGATGATCTGTACATTGATTGAATAAAAATGCTTCCTGTTTACATAAACAAATTCATCTTGTTTTAGCAATGTGTGTGCAGTCGATAGCGCTGGATACATCAGGAAAACCAGCCTTCACTGTAAATTGCACTTTTATGTCGTCCTGTTCAACTGCAGTGTATGGGAATTTGATATATCTGGCTGACTTTTGGATCCTGGCTGTGCTACGCTCTAATAATGGCCGCAGCTTCGCGCACACTTCTAAACTTATTGCCCTCGATAACGTAAAGCGGCTGATGAGCCAGTCATCATCCTGAGGTCTCTGGAAACCCGTTCTCTTGGCACTGCTCCATTCCATATCCTCCAACAGTGCCAAAGCTGCCATTGTTGTTAACGGTATCTTCTGCACTGTTTTACGCACACTTTAATATCCACTCATCTGATTGCAAACACCTGGGTGTGTTTAGTGTTCATCTGTGTATCTCTGATGTGCACATCACTTTGAGGAATTACCTTTTTTTACATAGCTATTTACATTTTTACATTCCCAGCATCGCCTCTAAGTGTCGCCAACGGCTCAAAAGCAGTAGGAACACGCGTATGCCAGCCAAGAAGTTGGCGTGGAGGACCGCACATTTCCATGTTCATTTCACTCTTGATACATCTGAACGTGAGCGTGGAAAAGTGCGTACGCCAAGTTTTCGTACGTGCACACCCTTTGTACATGAGGCCCCAGGATTTCTGGCAACGGACTTTAGTGGATAATGGACCAAGGTTATTGGCAGTGAGACGGCTGTGTGGGTATGAAGGGTTAAAAAGTGGGACTTGAGTTTTGGATTTGTTTAACTGACGAAGGTTTTGAGCTGTCCAATGGTTAAAGTTATTGAGACAGAACAGCAGCTAGGCCTCCTGGATCAGCAGGTCTCAGCGGGAGGTATATCTGTATGTCATCTGCATTATAATGAAAGGACACAGTGTGATGTTGGATTAAAAAACCAAGAGGGAGGAAATAAATAGAAAATTACTACTTATCCCTGTTTACCCTGCACTCTTTTTCATAATTGAAAATAACAAATAAAAAATGGGAGGAAGTCCTGATGTCATGAATAGAATATGAGAGCAAAGGCCCAGGTCCCAGGATGGGCGCAGGTCAAACATGTGCTTCAGATTGGAACTCGCTGGACGGAGGATAAGAGGTTTCTGAGAGCCACGTGGGAGCATCTGCAGACCCTGGGGTTGCACCCTCAGGACCTGGAGCCTGCACTACGAAGCCAGATCAACATACCCAGGATATCTGTCAGAGATCCTGCTTGACTAACCCTAACAACCCACTCAGGATAACCGGTCCTACGACAATGGTCATCAACTGGGTAAGTCAACCCAGGGTTGTCTGATCTGAGTATGAGCACGTGCACATAAAATGGGCGGAGTTATCAGCATCTGACCAATCAGGACTATGGACCAGTTTGGCTGCAGAGCGAATCACTTTACTGCCGAGGAGCAGAATATCATCTGTACAAGATATGAAGAATATAAAAACATCATAGGAGCAGAAAGTTGCAGCGACCAAAGCCAGGAAGGAATGCTGGCAGGAAGCTGCTGACTGTGTGAATGCATCAGTTCATTAGTTTATAGTTTAGGCACGTATCAGACAATAAGCACATCTGAGGATTCCTTAAACTAATGTGCTGCCTGATGTACAGGCTTATGGCGTATCTGATAGTTTTACTTCTAGCTGCAACCCTGGAGGTGTAAAAAGGACGTGGGAACAGATGAAGAACAAACAGAAACATGATTCAAAGCGGTGCAGCTTAGTAACGTGTCCTACAAATACAAGCTTTAATGCTAAAGTCAGTTTACTGCTGTGGGCTGATATTGGGATGGAAATAAATATGAAACAGCTTTGACATTGTCTGTAGCCAACAGGAAATAAATGTTCTAAGGAAGACAGGAGCTCATAGAGATCCTGGTCAAGGGGCACTAAGGGGTTCTGCCGGTCCTGAAAAACTCTCACACTCCTCAGTGGTCCCTCACAGTTCAGCTCCGATGTGTAGCGGCTCTTCTATAGATGCTGATGAAGCCATGTTGTTGAGAACTGCTTAGTTTTCTGCTCCTTCTGAAGTTTTACAGGTGAGAACTGGTTTTCAGTGGAGGTGTTTTTACACCCAGTGATCTCAACCTCCAACAGAATCTGCTGCGGAGCAGGTTAGTTGTTCAGCGTACGTTACCATGGTGATGGACCTGGTAAGAAGAGAACCACCATCGTAGGACCAAAAACCCAGGATTTAACCTGAAGCTACCTCGCTAACCCCAAAGCCTGCTTCATAGTACAGGCCCCAGGTCTTCCAGGACCAGGTCTTCCAGAGCCCCAGGTCTTCCAGGACCAGGTCTTCTAGGACCGCAGTGAGCCACAGGAAGTAGCTGCATTTCTCTCCATGATGGACAACAGACTGTCAATCATTTTGTTTTACATTATAAACATTTCTGACGTCTTCATTTGAGCAGCAAAGCTGCTTTTAACCTTCCAGACTAGAAACCAACTAGATGTGACCTGGTCATTAACTGATTATGATGATAATTAACAACAGACAGCATATTAATTAATACTTGATCAGATGATAGAAGCGTGTTAATGATCTCTGTCTGTCTACTATAAGCATCAACAGCCTTCAGTGTGGATGTTCTATACTCACTGTCTTACAGTTTTAATGATGCTAAAAAAGCTGCAGGTGTTTGAACTGGTCCCAGTTAACCCAGAGGTGTTAATGCTGGGTTCCTCTGAGAGCTGCTGGTTCTGTCACAGTTTACTGAGACCCTTTGTGGACCTCAGTCATCAGTTGTTCCTGCTAGTACCGGTCCAAGTGTCGCTGTTGAAAGGTTCAACTTATTTCTGTATGGAACAACCCGCCTGGGTAGCTGGACATGGAGCAGTGCTCTGTGTGGAACACTTCCTGAAGACACCTTTTACATGCTTCAGGGATCCTCCCGTGCTGCAGGGGGCGCCGTCCGCAGCAGCTCGTTCTAAACCTGCGGCTCCTCCGGCTCCGCAGAGTCTGACCTGTCGCTGACCCGGAGGAGGAGGAGGAGGAGGAAGGAGACAGCCGTGACTCGAGCTCCGTGTGCGCGCATCAGCTGATCCGTTGTCGTGTCGCTGCTGTGAACGCGCCGAGTACCGCGACAGTTGCCAGCACGAGCCTGCTGCGCGTGCGTCGGAGGCCTGTTTGTTGTTGTGGCTGTTAGCAGCGAGGCCCGCGCGCGATGCTAAGCTAAGCGGTGGTCGGGCTGCTGAACGGGAGGGCACCGGACAGCACCGGACAGCACCGGACAACACGCCTTCCAGTCACGGAGCGGTGGCGGACATGCGGAGGCTCATGTGACGCGGCTGTGTGCGCTGGAGGCCCGCCGACCCGACGCTGTTCCCAGCCGTCCCCCGCGGCCTCGTCCGGCTGAAGATGTGGCTCAAGCTGTTCTTCCTGCTGCTCTACTTCGTGGTTCTGTTCATGCTGGCCCGGATCTTCGAGGCGGTGGTCTGGTACGAGACGGGCATGTTCGCCACCCAGCTGGTGGATCCGGTGACCCTGAGCTACAAGAAGCTGAAAACCATCCTGGAGTGTCGAGGGCTGGGCTACTCTGGACTGGCCGAGAAGAAGGACGTGAGCGAGCTGGTCGAGAAGTCAGGTAAAAGTCTGGGCCGGGCTCCGGGCTCCGGGCTCTGGCAGAACCACACACCCCGTCCTGAGGGCCAGGGTCTAGAACCTCTAACCCTGCCATCCTTCATGTCCAGCCTGTGTCCATTCACAGAGACAATAGCAGCATGTATGACCAACCTCCATGTCTCATTTCAGGTCTTTATGGACATGAAATGATTTAATTGACATAATCAGTCAGTGGAGGTTTCATGTTTTCATCCTGGGAACAGCTGCAGCACACAGATGATTATTATTTCTGTGCAAGGTCAGACTTTAACACAGCTCAGACTCCACAGACCAAAGACAGAAAGTTTTCCAGAGACAAATGCAGAAAGCCACCGATGGTCTGAAACCAAACTCACACTGACTCCGGTTGGTGTCCACAGCAGGTTATCCTTTTTGAAGGGTTGTGTTTGTGTGTGGGTGTGTGTGTGTGTGTGTGTGCATACACGAGAAGTTCTCTATCAAAGTCAAGCTCACATTTATTTCTATACAGCATTTCAAATTAAAACAATGCTGTGACCTCCTCTCAGCTCATACAGTCAAGAGCCACAGCTTCCATCCACCTGTGAAGACCACGTATCAGGGCAATCTGGATTCCTAACGACTCTTAGAACCCTCAACTTCTGCATTTTAGTCACTTGGCAGATGCTTTGAGAATAGATCACATTCACACACCACAGAGCTGCCATGCCACGTGCTGCCTGCCATTGGCTGGAGACATACGAGGTGCATCAGAAAAGTTCGAGGACTGGTGTCACCTAAGACACATGTCAAACTACAACCGACAAGTTTCCCCTTCAGACGATCAACCAGCATGTCTACAAAGAGATCCTGCAGTGTTTGCTTCATTCAGAAGAGGCAGAGTTGTGGCAGGACCAGTAGTGGCTGTGAAGGCACGATGCATGGTTGTTTGTAGTGACAAAGACGTGTTTTAGAATCCCATCATAGAAAATAAGGAGCTATAGGAGTCATGGAAGCTCAACACAGTCTTCACAAGTTGACTGTATGTCCACATGAGCGGAGAGCAGGGCTTGTCCCAAACAAGCTGTTATGTAGAGATGAAGTGTAAGCTACACACACACACACACATTTCAGTCCTTCAGATAATAAAACCATGGGGCATCTTGCAGCACCTTAAAGATGCCACTGCTGTGAAAACCAGAAGAGCTCTGGGTTTGTAATCTGCTTTCAGACCATCCTACTATGCAGAGATGTCTAGGTTTTGTGGAGTTCTTGGTGTCCTTCAGGACCTCTCTGTAACTCTGTCTTTGTTGAACTGAGTTCTCATCTCAGTAGGCGGTGGTGTTTTTTCAACAATTTCCCTGAGGTCCTCTACCAAAGGGATTAATAAAGTTCTATCTTTTTACTGTCTGATGCTGCTGTTGTCTCACCATTGGGATGCACATTAAAGTCACATCTGGTCTGTGGCCTAGTGATTCTTATTTTGTGTCAGGTTCATAAATGATCAATTAAATAGTCCCATTTTCTGATCTTGGATGACCAAAATAGAGGAGTGAATGATGAGCAGGTATTACTGTGTGGTCTGGGTGCCCAGTGTTTGTAGGTTGTATTTCACATAGAATTATAAGTGGCTCCAGATCAGTTGGGATGCCTTCAAATGTTGAACTGAAGTTCAAGGTCTCTCCTGAGCAGGTAGATGTGAAAACAAAGTGCACATGCATCGTCCTGCACAGCTCAGACAGAAGGAGAAGAGAGTTTTACAAACAGAGGACAGTTCAGAGTGACCTCAGTTATAAAGGAAGATATCACTGTGTGAACTGCACCAGGAACACCAGGGGCCTCATGTACAAAGGGTGCGTACGCACAAAAACTTGGTATACGCACTTTTCCACGCTCATGTTCAGATGTATCAAGAGTGAAATGAACGTGGAAATGTGCGGTCCTCCACGCCAACTTCTTGGCTGGCATACGCGTGTTCCTACTGCTTTTGAGCCGTTGGCGACACCTAGAGGTGATGCTGGGAATGTAAAAATGTAAATATGTTAAAAAAAAAAAAAAAAGGTCCTTCCTCAAAGTGATGTGCACATCAGAGATACACAGATGAACACTTAACACACCCAGGTGTTTGCAATCAGATGAGTGGATATTAAAGTGTGCGGAAAACAGTGCAGAAGATACCGTTAACAACGATGGCAGCTTTGGTACTGTTGGAGGATATTGGCAATGGAGCAGTGCCAAGAGAACGGGTTTCCAGAGACCTCAGGATGACGACTGGCTCATCAGCCGCTTTACGTTCCGAGGGCAATAAGCTTAGAACCTGTGCACGAAGCTGCGGCCATTATTAGAGCGCAACATGCCCAGGAGCCATGTCCTACCTGTGCCCATACAGGTGCTGACAACACTGGGCTTCCTAGCCACAGGGTAATTTCAGAGGGAGCTGGTCAACTGATGGGGACTGTGCCAGTCGACAGTGAGCCAAGCCATGCCAGATGTGTGGGATGGAGCTATCTGAATGTCAGCCAGATATATCAAATTCTCATACAGTGCAGTTGAACAGGACGACATAAAAGTGCAATTTGCAGTGAAGGTTGGTTTTCCTGATGTAATCGGAGCTATCGACTGCACACACATTGCTAAAAAGGCGCCATCACAGGATGAATTTGTTTATGTAAACAGGAAGCATTTTTATTCAATCAATGTACAGATTAGGGCTGCACGATTATGGCCAAAATGATAATCACGATTATTTTGATAAATATTGAAATCACGATTAATTATCACGACTATTTGTTGATTTTAACCAAAACAAATTCTATTGTTTTACAGACTTATTATAGCTGTTTTCACATCCATATATTGTGCTACATTCCTGCTAATGTGCAAATATGTGCTTAAAAATAGAATAGGTCCTCTTTTTCTCCAAAATTCAGTGCAACTCTATAAAAAAATTTTAAAAAAAGATAAATGAAAGAATAATGAAAAGGCAACAAAACAGGGCACGAGTTTCCATTTCCATTCTGCAAATATATTTTCTGAACTAAGTTATAAACTGGATGTGAATATAACTCCAAAGTAAATCAATCAGTAATCATGGTGTAGTTGTAAAAAAACTGAATGAATCATGTTGTTGATGTCACCAGAGAATCTCAATGCTGATTGGCCATTGCGGCGCGTCAGATCGCAAAAGTTCAGATTTTTCAACTTGCTCTTCAAACACGCATCTAGAATCGCGTCATACACGCGAATAACTCACTCAATTCGTGTCATTTGCGCCGTGGGACGTTTACTCACGTCTAATCGCGTCTTCACATTGACTTTACATGAAAATTATTCACATGTAAATTAAATTATTTACATGTAAATGATTTTACTTGCGTCTGGTGTGAACACAGCATTACACATTTTAAATATCGCTCGATCACGCAAATTTGATCGCAGGAAGCCAATATCGTGATCGTGATTAAAATTCGATTAATTGTGCAGCCCTAGTACAGATCATCTGTGATGAGCAAATACATTTAAGTAACATTGTTGCCAAGTGGCCTGGATCAACCCAGGATTCATTCATTCTGACCAACAGCGTTGTTGGGAACAGGCTACAAGCTGGCATGGTTCGGGATGGGTGGCTTCTTGTTGAGTAAATCATTTAATTGTCCTAATATTAATCCCTCTGACACGCGTAAAGCATGTGTGCCCCGGACGGGCATCAGCACCTGGCTGTTGCGGCGGACCGGAGGATTGGCTGACGCTGGGGAGGCTGCGGGAATCCCACGGGTCTTTGATACGAGGCTGGAACTGCGTCTCACAGTCTTCTCCTGCCTCATTGTCTGTTGGAAAATAATAAATTCAGCAATTTGACATGAGACAAAGTCTTCGATTTCCTCTTTGATATCCTGGCATGATTACGCATGAACCTGTATCTTGTTTGGCTGTGAGCAGATTATTGTATGACCCATATAATGAACAATTAGTGAGTTACACAATAAATATTTACCTTAGGGGTGATCCGAGTGACCTACCTGTGCTCCCACCACCCCTGTGACAGCAGTGTCACCCACAATAGCGGCGACTCTCTTCTCAGACGGGGTGAGTTCATCCTTGTTACTGTTGTCTGATCATACAGAGAGGGGAATCCCACCTGTCAGCCCTGTTTATATTAATTTGCATATTTAAATTGGGAGCGTGGAGAGGGAGGAGTCTGGTACTCCAACATGTGCGGTCAATTCCACGCTGAGTACAAAGGAAATGTGCTTGGATTCAGGCGTACGCTCACTTTCGTTCATCTGGATTTTTTTGTGCAGACGCAGTTTTCTGGATTGAAGCGTACACCAGGTTTCAGTATGAAATCCACAGAAGTCTTTGTACATGAGGCCCCAGATCTGTACCTGTGCTCTCTGGACTTAATGAGGTCTGCCACTATTCAACACTAAACAGATGGTCAGACAGATAGAGTTTACAGTTGAACAGACTGTATGCTCATAAGTCAAAGTACAGGAGCGACTGCAGGATGGATGGCTCTGCCCACTGACTCTTGTTTTCCTCCCTCAGGAGACCTGACACAAGGGGAGCTGTACTCAGCCATCAAGAAGAAGAAGGAGCAGACGGACGCAGGAGACTCCAGCACCACTCACTTCAGTGGAGAGATGCACTTTTATGAGCTAGTGGAGGACACTAAGGATGGGATCTGGCTGGTTCAGGTAAGAGCACTCAGTCACATCATGTAGGTAGGGGAGCATAAACCTGTCTTCGTGAATACCCTCAGCTTTATGGAAGTGTGACAAGTGGCTGAATTCTGACACCCTGGCAACATACACTGATTCAGCAGGCTGTCAACTCCATCACTCTTCTCTTCTATCATGCTAGAGAGGATAGACTGGTATCTGTCCTTTCTAGCATGACGGATTAATCAGGAATCTGTCACTGCATTATCAACAAATACAAGGTGCGTAAGGAAGTAGTTAACTTGCTCGTAGGCCCTCAGGTCCAGACAGTCAGCGTGAGTGTTGGGCAGGTCAGTTCTCTTGGGCTAGAAACTGTTCTTAAGTCTGTCTGTCCGTCCCTGATCTCATGGACCTGAAGCGTCTATCTGAGGGCAGCGGGTCAACAGATGGTGTCCAGAATGGGATTGGTCCTGAACAATGTTCTACTGAGGCAGCCAGAGATAAACATGTCCTCCAAAGAAGGTCCTGATGATCTTCTGGGTGGTTAATGATCCTCTGGAGGCTCCAGTCCACTGCTGAGCAGCTCCAGAACCACAGTGATCCGATACGCCAGCTCGCCCTGGACAGAGCAGTGGTAGAAGGACAGCAGCTGGTTGTTTTGTTCTGAAGATCCTCAGGGAGTGGAGTCCCTGCTGAGCCTTGGTTACTGCTGCTGTGGTGGTGGTTCTTCATCATCACCCTGGAACCTGACAGCAGGGACCCTGTCCACACAGTTGATGGTTAGTGGATCAAGGTCTGCTCAGTTCCTTCAAAAGTCTTTGACGTGTTCTTGTAGTTCTCTGAACACTGTCAGTCTTTGGACTTCATCTGTCTCCTCCTGAGATATGTCCAATCACAGCGAAACTACTAATGGTGTTGGAGTTACAGATGTGGACCTGTCATACAGTGTGTAGAGGATGGGGCTCAGCCACAGCCTTGTCAGGAGCCGGCGCTAAGAGCATTAGTACAAATCAGTGTCCAGAATAATCAGTACTGAGCTGCTGCAAACATCACTTTAATGGGTTAAAATGACAAAAACTTGAATAATTTCCAAGGTTAAAGTCAACTTTTATTTATGATATCAGTCTTGACTGTGTCTTTAATACATCTGAAGAGAAAGTGACCCAGATGTGCACCATCCATCTATCCATCATCATCTCTACACCTTAATCCTCACTAGGATCATGGGGGGCATAGTCTATCCCAGCTGACTCAGGGTGAAGGCAGGTTCACCTGGACAGGTAATCAGTCTATCACAGGGCTGTGCCCGTACTCCAGATCTCCACCAGCTGTCATGAATTCGCCCCTCTAGTTTTTGCGTCATCTTGCTGACAGACAGATGAACAAACAGCCATTGTTGCAGTGTTACCTCCACCAGGGAGGCTGAACCACGCCCAGGGCTGGTAGTGAAGTCAGTTCCTGCGCAGTACAGTTGAAGACAACATTATTACCCCCCAAGTTTTTTTTCAAAAAGTTTCCAAGTTCTGTTAAACAGGTCAAGGAATTTTTAACACAGCTTTTTCAAACATCCTCGTTTTATTTTGGATGCTTACATGATTTTACTTTGCACACAGAAACTAAATTATTTAACAAAAAAACAAAAAACTACCAGAGTCAAAGTTATTAGCCCATAAGAACTGACCTTTTATTGAGCCAAAGCGCAAACCACTGCTGTGCAATCATGTACTTAAACTTTGTAATGCTCACCGCTGGTAATCAATCAATCAAGTTCAAACTGGGGGTTGTCCTACACTTGACACACAGTATAAAAACGTAGTTAAGGATTTGAATCAAAAGCCCTGACAACACCTAGAGGCGTGTTTTGGCTCATGGTCCTGTTAGAAGCTTCTCCCAGAGAGGGATGGTTTGCAGCACCAATGCTGGTCAGATGTTAGTTGGACTTCTGAGTACATCTCCAACAGTGTCACAGGCTCCTCCTGGATACTTCACAGTGAGACCACAGGAACGTTGAAGTAATGAGACCAAAGTACACTTTCCACTGGTATAATGACCAGATCTTGAGTTTCTGCTCTCACGTTCCTATTGGGCTCCCTCAGTACTGTTTGTTTTTTGCAGCAGTCTCCTCACAACAGCTGATTCTGAGATGCTGCCTGAACTCTAGAAGCAGTGATGTGTGCTCTACTTTGGGCTCTTGTTAGTTGCTGATGACTAATGTTCATGAGCCTGTGCAGCAGAGGGAGCTCCTGGACCTTCTGTTCTGGATTGGTCCATGAGAACCACTTTCACCACAGTGTTCAGTGTGACTGCACTGAAGAAACAGTTCAAAGCTGTTTGTCTCATATCAGGCTCCTTTAGTGTCATATGTTCCCAAAATTAGTTTTTTTTTTCAGTTACTCGGCTCAAAATACTGAAAAATGTTTAATTTCACTGTGGCTGTAAAGCCCTGGATTCAGGTCTGTTGTAAACAGGCTGTTCTGGTGTCTGCTGAGAGCTGCTGCTGACCATTAGCTTCCCTGTGCATAGTGATTGACAACACGGAGCAACGCAGCATGAGACCAGGCCTTTCCCTTTACATGACCATTCTCTGTGGACATCCAGCAGAATTCACATAGCCATTGCGTGTTACCGATGCGTGTGGTGAGCCTGTCAGTTATGTCAGTATTTCAGCTGTGAATAGCTGCAGCTTGGAAACGGCTGCAGAGTTAGGTGTCGGTTAACATGCAGTCCTAATAAATTCATACTCAGACTGTTGCCTGCTAACAGACACAGAAAAATATGTAAATACACAAAACTTTATTGGGGATTTGGTCATATTAAAATACAGACAGCAGGACAGAAGCAGACAGATGTAAACACTAGGCTGCACTTGGATCTGAGGATGGGTACCAAAAGTTTTAATACTAGTGAAACAATCAGCCCTGACGTCCGTTGTTCTGCTCACGGTAGTGTTTACTCCAGCTCATCACCACCAGATGTGTGTCTACGATGCCTTCAGACAAATCTCTGGTGTGGAGCAGCTCTGAACTACCTCAGAACTCAGAACTATGATTACGCCACTAAAACAACAAGTCGCTGTATGGAAGAGCAAAAACACCATCAGTCTGTTGGAACATTCAGCAACAGTTCATCACATATAGACTGAGAAATGTGGTCGGTTCTCCCTGACCAGGTGTAGCATGTTAGCTAGCAGCACGCATGCCGAGCTAGCTAAATTACAAAAACATGGGCTCATCATAAAAAGTAAATGTTGGGGCACCTGGATAGCTCAGCAGGTTGGGCTGGCGACCCATGAACATATAGAGGTTATGGGTTTGAGTCCGGCGCCCGACCATTCACTGCAGGTCCTTCCTCCACTCTCCTCCCCATATTTCCTGTCTCTCTTTCCCCCTTTCACTGAAAAAGTAAATATTGTCTACGTGTTTGTTAAAATGACTGAGTTCATACATTCAGTCAGAAACTTGGGGGCATCACTTTGTGAGCTCAGAGCTGCAGGATGTAGTGGTGTAGTTGTACTCTAGTTTCAGGCTGATTCTAACTCAGCGTTGGTGTTAGTGGGAGAAGAAGTACTTCAACTGGTTTCTTCATTAACTATTATTCACACAGGAACAGTACTGTCAGAAACACGTCCTGCATTACTTTATACACTAAAGAGTGAAAGAGGTTTGATCAACACAATGTGCTGACATTTACTGGAGAGCTTAAGATGAGCAGTATGGTTGGTAGTGCTGTTACCGTCTAACCATACCTAGGGATGGGTAGGTAGGCCACATGAAGACACAGTAGCACACCCAGTCCTCGTTCTTTGGTTTCACATTAGTCTTTCATCGTCTCTGAATGTGTCTCAGCCCTACACAGAGCTCTGACTTGTGGGCTGTCACTCCAAGCTAAGGTAGTGTTAGCCACATTAGCCAGACGGCATGCTAACACTAAGGACACTTTGGTTGTTGTAGTGACATCGCCACAATTAATATGAATAATTCACTGGGATGATTTGTGTCCTTTGACAGATTGTGTGTCGTGATCTTGTCGTGTCCTGTGTCTGCCTGCAGGTCATTGCCCAAGACCGGGAGGCTCTGCTCAGTCAGTCCAACTGGGGGAAGATGGTGCAAAAAGTGTCCCAGTTTGGGATCAGAACTGGAACCTTCAACTGTTCCAACGACTACAGGTTGGAAGACTGCTCCATAAGAGCACAAATTGCTAAAGTAAACCAACAGTTACTAATATACATGCAATGTCTGTCACTTAAATCTCTGAGTTAACGGAGTTTGCGTTGGCAGTTTCATTTTTATTTTACAGTTTTGTAGCAGTCGATGAAAGTGCTTGAGGTATACATCTTTGGTATTTGCCCATTACATTCTGGGATGGTTCTCCACCTAGAAGCAAAAAGGGAACCAATGTTTGTTCAGTCTTGCCAAAGTCCCCACGTACTGGGTAGTCTCAGAGTACATGCTCATAGCCTCCAGCTGTCACACGGTTCCTCCAGTGGAAAGCTGCTACTGAACCTTTACCAGAAAAATCCTATTTTGATCTTTGTTCACAGTGCTTCCTCTCTGGCCAGTGACAGCTCAGCGCCCTGGACATTAGCTCTTCTGTGCACTTTATAGTATATGGCAATAAATATGACATGAGCTACTCTTATATTTGGTAAAATAGGTATTTGTATGAGGCACTGGTATTGTGTGTCATGAGTACTAAGTGTTTTAAGTATGTACATTCCCATGTGTTCCCCAAAGCCTTTCATTCCTGTGCACGTAGTATACCTCTATGTAAACTGTTGTACAGTCTTTGGTATTGAAAAACATCTATTTTATGATGACATTAACATTTAAAGTCAGCATTTTAGTATACCTGTGAGTGTACACATGCAGCTTGGTTAAAGTTCACTACAACACAAAGCTAATGCACTGTTTCATATAATGCAGAAATCAGTAATGTACTTTAACTCTATTTATTGCTGGACTTTTACATTTTAAGTACAATTTCAATTTCAATTTTCAATTTTATTTTATTTGTATAGCGCATATTTACAACAACAAGTCATCTCATAGCGCTTCACAAAGGCAGAAACAGAAACACCCAACAATCCAAAACATCTGGATTCCCTATAAGCTTCAGCAGTCCGCAAGCAGTCCACAACAGTGGGAAGGAACCGAAAACCCCCACAGGGGGAAAAAAACCTCCGACAGAACCAGGCTCAGGGAGGGACGGCCATCTGCCTCGACCGGTTGGGTGGATGTAGGATGAATTATACAATGTAGTTTACAGTTAAACAAGTTATTAGAAGTACACAACGGTATATTTTACATTTACAAGTTAAAAGTAGAGGATGAGTCAGATCTAGTGAAAGCAGTCCACTACACTAGTTAACATGTTCAGTGCACTTTGTCTTACCTTCATCTCCTGTTGTACAGATGTAGAGGCATCTGCACATGTCAGGTAACAACACCACCTGGTGGTGATGCTAGTAATTGCACCTCACATCTGTGGATTTGTCTCTACATGTCAGCTCTGATTCTGATTGGAGCCAAATCCACAAACACAGAAGAGGAAAGTCACAATTCCTATGTTGCCAACAGCCTTGACAGGAAATAGCATCTGCACATGTCCAACCGGTCGAGGCAGATGGCCGTTGCCAACTGCTTGCTCATAGGAAGTCCAGAGGCAACTTTGGATTGTTGGTTTCTCTGTTTAAATCAGAGCAACACATCTTCTTCGCATGGAGTTGATCAGATTGTCTATAGTGGCCTGTAGAATGTTATTCCATTCCTCCTGGAGTGCCACACGGAGAGTCAGTATGGACAGTCTGAGGTGTGACACGCCTGTTGTGCAGACCAATAGTCTCATCAGCTGTGTGAGTCGCTGGTCTTAGCTGATCCCGGCGATCTTGTCCTGGAGTGGTCACACGTGGCCGACGAGGATGAGGTCGATTTGCAGTAGTGCCAGTCTGTTGGAAACGAACTCTTAAACGGCCTATGGTCCGATAATGGACATTGAGCCGTGCAGCTACTGCTCTAGTGGACATCCCTGCATCCAACATGCCAATGGCACGCTCCTGCATAACTTGCGACATCTGACGCATTATGACTTTTGACAAAATTAGACATTTTGGGGTGGCCGTTTATTGTCCCCAGTCCAAGGATTGTCCAGCTGTTGCTCATTTTGTCTGATCACCCTCTGGACATGCCCCACCCATGCACTGAGTAAAAAAACAACTCACTGAGTAATGCTCACTGACAGCAAGTTGGATTAAAAATTATACACAAATCAAAAGAAATATTACTTTTGTACAATAAAATGTCAGCAAATGCTCATTTACAGTTGTTAACGCCACATGGCAACAATATTTGACATGGGGCGTTTATATTTTTGTTCAGTGTATATATGATCCCAGAAACATATACTCTGTCAAAGGAAGTCTCTGGCATACGTTATTGGTGTTGTTTAGACACTCACCTGATGTAAAGGCAGAATGTGTGTGTGGATGCATGTTGGTGTCAACCCTGTCTAGCCTAGACCGTTTAGCTTCCTCTCCCAACCTGGTTTTAGCTTTAAACATAAAGTCATTGTGTAGTTCTCATGAACAATAGGGGACGCTTGATGTGAATATTTCACTGAGGATTTATAATTAAATCAGTAATATTGTTGATATTGTGATGTCATACCGACTTGCTGATGGTGTGTTGTGTCCACCAGGTCGTGCATCAGACGGGGCTGGCAGCGTTCCACTCTCATCATGTCTGTTCCTCAGACTTCAGCGTCAAAGGGCAAAGTCATGCTGAAGGAATACAACGGCCGTCGCATTGAGACTGAATACATTTTCCGTTGGATGACCTCACACGTGGCTCATCGAATCAAAACCCTGCGTCGCTCTGAGCAGCTGATGGAGGAGTGGCGCTCTGATCCAGCTCACCCAGTCAAGATGTTCCTGTTCGCCCGCCTGCCCCAGCCTCCCACCTTCTTCTCCTCGCTGTCCGTCAAGTTCACCGGCAGGATCGAGTTTATCTTTGTGGATGTGCGTCACTGGGACAACCACAGCAGCCTATCAGAGATTGGCGTGATGCAGAGTCCTGCCTACATTCTCAAGATGCCTGAGGGCATCTATCGCTATGGCGACAGGTGATGATTCAACACTGAGATGGTCCTTATTCTGTTTCTGTCCCTTTTACTTGAGCTAATTGTTTTCTCTTCTGTCCTCTCCTTGTAGTACCGGGGAGTTCCTGTCCTTGGCTGCCATGGACACGTTCCTGCGCTCCGTGCAGCCAGAGGTCAACGACCTGTTTGTCCTCAGCCTGGTCCTCATCAACCTGCTGGCCTGGATGGACCTCTTCATCACACAGGTCACTGCTCCGTCACATTACACACATGAACAAAACTCGATGTGGTGCATTTTTAGAGTTGATATACTGTTGAAGCTCAGCTCTCTGTTGACCAGTTGATATTAATAAGTCCTGTATATACAGAGACCATTCTGCATTATGAATATCTTTACTCTGAATACTTTGAGTACATTGTGATGAAAACATTGTGATCTCACTTACAGGAAGGACTTTGTGTAACATAATCTTAATACTCTCAGCGTTAAACACTTTATGCACAATGGTAGAGAGAATATTCGGGCTGGTCCGAACAGCAGTTTCTGATATTCAGATGTTCAGTCCCATTTAATGGTGAATATCTGAATATTGGTCGGACCGACGGGGTTGAGGTGGGTGGGGCGCACAGGCAGTACTTTGCTACTGATGCCAGTTTATGGTAGTGGTCACAGCTCTGGTTCCACCATCGGGGGGATTTGAGACGTTGGAGTCCAGCCCTAGAGAACATCCAGAGCTAGTTGTTCCTGTAGTTACTGCTTGGTTTATTTTAACATGTCTTCACTCTGGTGGACAGGGGGCAACAGTGAAACGCTTCGTGGTTCTGATCCGAACCCTTGGAACCTACAACTCTGTGCTGCTGGTGTCCTGGCTTCCTGTTCTGGTAGGAAATCATCTACAACACTTGTACATTCTTCTTGTAATAATAATAATAATAATAATAATAATAATAATAATAATAGTACATTTATTTTGTGTAGCGCTTTTCACGATACTCAAAGTTGCTTAACAGGGAATAAGATAAAAACAAGAACAAAACAGGTTAAATACAAAACAGATTTAAAAACAAGGTTCTTCTTCTTCTTGTGTTGAACAAAGTTATTTTTAAAAACTGAATTTCCACAGTTCTTAAGGATTAACACCTGGACCTCTTCCTCCGACACTAGACGTGTCCTCAGACAGTATGGGGGAGGCAGGCAGCACTTCAGGAATCCTGAATGTTTTCTGTTCCATTTCTGTTCTATTCAAAACCTATTGGAGAATTCATTGACACCACAGATTGAATGACACATGTTGTGCACCTCCCCTCATTAAGCCCATCGTCTGAAACGCTGAGCTCATGTTGTTGCCTGATTGCAGCACAGTGTCACTGTGCACATGCAGAGTGCAGGTATAGCCTGGGGGGGGAAACACTTTTCATACATATTTTGGGTCAAAGTGAACTAATTTTTTCAGGGTTGAGATTCTGTAAATACAGTTTCCTGTTCACTTATGTTCTTGTTTAAACTGCAGCTCTGACTCTAGCTTGTTATCTAACCAGGGCCTAGTCTGGTTAGTCTGAGATACCTGCTCAGAGACGTTATCATGATGGCCTCCAAGTGGCAAGAAAAAAACCAACTGTGTGGTAGTTTGTTAATGCATACATGTACTGTGTGTAGCGGTAAAACATAAGGTCAGCTTTAAGTAAAAATGAATAAGTTATTGTGAAAACCTATCCTCATTATAGCGATGATCCCTTAATCTACTGTACATGTTGCTCTGCTCACACTGGGGTGGCTGCCTTCAATGAGCTTTCTGTTCTATTAGTCCCTGTGCAATGCCATTACAGTATGTCAGAGCCTGAAAGCATCATAAAGCACATTATTGACAAAGAATATGACCTGACAAGACTTGTGACATTCAACATCTCTTATCTAGTTCTAAACTAACGTCACCAGACCTAAGTGAGCCGTACTGATGTGACCCAGTATGGAGCTCCATTAGGAGTACCTCATCACTAACCACTGATGATCCCTTCCTCCAGGCTCTCCTTCAGCTGCCCTACCTGGACACCCTGTATGGCTACAGCCTGAAGCTGCTCCGCTACGCTGACACCACCACGCTGGCCAGCCTGGTGAGAGCTGACTGGACCTTCTACTCATCCCACCCAGCTCTCTTCCTGTCCACCTACCTGGCTCACGGCTTGCTGGTGGACTACTTTGAGAAGAAGCGCCGCTGTGGTGCCAGGAGCCAGGAAGACAGCACCACCAACCTGGAGTGGCTAGCCAGTCTGTGGGACTGGTACACCTCCTATCTGCTCCACCCCATTGCTTCACTGCAGCAATTTCCGTCTGATCACTCAGACTGGGACGACGATCCCAACTTCTTATTTGAGCGTTTGGCATTCCCTGATCTCTGGCTTCGCCCATTAGTAAACATGGATTACATTAAGACTCTGCCAACCTGGAGGCTCAGAGCTGTCGGTCTGTCTACTGGGGACGAGTTGCGTGGGAACCTGGACGAGCAGAGAGACTGTTCACATTCAGACCCAGAGAGCAGGGCAGACCAGGACAGCAGCTCACAGCTCTGTGTGTGCAGGAACAGGAAGCCCAGCAGCAGGCAGCATGCATGCACTGCTGCTGCGTCGTCACTCTGCTGCTGCCATAGCAACCGGAGCTCGCCATCAGCTGACCAGGCGCTGGAGGATGGCTGCCTTCCGCCGAGGTGTGTCTCTACCTGTCAGCAGTGTGACTGGGCAGGCTGGCCTGGTGACATGCTGCAGTGCTCGGAGTGTGTGGTGTGTCTGGAGAACTTTGTGGGTGAGGAGCTGCTGATGGGCCTGCCCTGTGGCCACGCCTTCCACCAGCAGTGCATCGTGGTGTGGCTGGCAGCAGGCAGACACTGCTGCCCTGTGTGTCGATGGCCCAGCTACAAGAACAAACAACAGAGAGCCGCACCAAGCAGCGCCACAGAAAACACACTGCAGGAGTGACCACAGGAAGGTACCGTCTGGTCTCACTGGGCATTGTAGACTATATCCTACTATCACGACTTACTGGGAGGGAAGCTAGGACTGGGGAGGGAGTGGAAACATTCAGTGTACAGTACATGTCATAGGGGCTCCTGTTACGAGCCATTAGTCAGCTTGTTTCCATTCCTGTTGAAGGCAACGTGCTGACCACCATGCCAGATGGACGAATCAGAGCCCAGCTGCACAGGTGTAGTCACAGTCCACTGTGTAGTCCAATACAAACATCCATCTGGTTTGGCCTTATGCATCCTGTAGAGTGCTGCTGTTAGAGGTTGTTCACCCCACAAACCATCAAACCACAAGTGATAAATTAAGCTAAACGTGTCTGACGTCTGCTCCATCCTGCATCCTGACCAAACACAAAAAGTCCTTCCTTTATGTGTTTGTAATTAGCATTGAGCCAAGAATGATGGGGAACTGAAAGCCCTTGTTTCTGGATTCCTGTCACTACTCATCATAGGAAGCGTCTATTAGTCAGCACAGAGATAAAATACCACCGGCAGGCTCTGTCCTGTGATCCGCAATGTGGTTCTGAAAGTACTGACATGACCCCCATTGACAACCAGAAGCTTCCATTTGACTTGATGTAGGTATCCATCTCCGTTATACATATATATATAGATAGATTTTGTGTATATTTGCTGCTCTCCATGCTGGTCTGTCATGTGCTGGTGAAACAGGAGTCCTGATGATCATGTCAGCTTGTGTAACTGAGCCCAGATCAGACAACAGCACATCTGCTTTACTTTCTGGTGCTCAGGTCTACATGGACTCATCAGATACTGAACCAAACCTAAAGTCTCCCTCAGACCACTACTCCTGACCTGCCTGGAACACCTCGATCTAAATCCAGGCCTTGTTTCCATGACTTATCTCCTTCACGGTGTGACACATGTGCATAACAACTGCCCAGCAGCTAGTCTGGTCTGTCCCCAGAGTGAGCGGCTGCCTCGCCTTTCTCAGGCTCCGTCCCTGTTCTCAGAGGTCTGGGGTACGGTACCAGGGTTATGGGTCACTTCATCAGGCTAGCTGACCCATCAGCAGACTCCTAAAGAGACAGGAGCTAGACAGGGTGAGAAGAAGAAGGTGTTTTAGGAACATGAAAGCATGTGAACAGATTCAAGTAGAGCCCAGAAACACAGTCATGAGCCTCTAAATGTGCAGAGTGTCAGGACTGAAGCCACGAGAAACAGAAGGCGGCTAAAGCTGCTCTACAAGTGGATGAGATGACTGCATGAGGTGATTCATCCAGAGGACATAATCCAGTTCTTTTAGCTCATCATTCTTCAGTAAAACTGTGCTTTCATCAGTTTCATCACTCTGTCCACTACTCACATGGAGGCGCTCACTAGCTGCTGAACTTCATGCAGCATTTAGCAACGTATGAGCTGGATATCTACCCAAGAGTGGAGATGATCCCAATGCTCCAGAGGATTATGTTGGATATTGTTTCTTTCGTCTGTCAGCACCACTCTGTTTCCTGTTTAAAGAGTGTGTACCAACACTAGATTCCTACTGGGGCTGAATGACAGCTGTGTTGTCCACCTTTAACACTACTGTTGCATTATTTAATCAGTGATGTGTCCTGACTGAGCTTCAACCAGATACCACGGGCTCACTGCAGGTCATGTCGCTGCTATGCCAGACCCTTGCCTTTACCAAGAATGGACATGACTGAATGAATCTAGCAAAGTGCCTATTGTGTGTGAGCTGAGATGGTCCCAAGTCTTTCTTTCATAAACACCTGAGTTTGAGCTGAATTAACCCTCTCCAGTCATAGAGGCTCTGCTCTTTATGCATGCTTTTATTTTCCTCCATGTACGAGTATCTCTGTGGACTGCCAGGAGGTGGTAGCCAGGCTCTGCTTCGCATCTGTCTGCTGCTGACATTTACACCCAACCATGTCTTTCTCAGTGTGTCAGCATAAACCAGGAATAACAGGACATTTAAAGTGGAGAGCTTGTAGCTGGACCAGTTTGGGATGAGATTCTGTTAGACCTGTAGCTGCTGTACAGTGTCAGCAGTTTGGGTGGTCCTGCTGTTCCAGCACTCTGGCAAGCTGAAGATACGTGTCTTCTGCACTGGGTCGCCTGAAGTTTAGGCTTAATTTTAAAAGTCACACATGCTTTGATAAGTGTGTCATTATATCTAAAACCCTTCCTGTAGAGCTGCTCTATGTGGCATCGATCCTGATCTGATCTTTAAGGGTGCTTAACCAAATATCTTTCAGCTCATTCCTGTCATGTTTCTGTGTGCTAACAGCAAGAAGAAAATCAATATATATGTAGAGTGATAACATTTGGTCAAACAATAAAGCGTTTCAGATCTCTGTTTGGAGTCGTGTTCATTTTAAGATGCATGATGGTTTTAATGGACAAACTGTGTGTGATGTAAAACACTCAGGTTGGTTTCATGTGTTCAATCGATGACAGGAACAATAGAGACAAACAGAATGGGTTTTTATAAACAAGTGGAATAGAGCCAATCAAATCCAGCCTGTTTACGATGAGTGCTTCCAACCTTAACCCTCGCTCTAGCAGTCTAGGGCCAAACCTACACGCTCCTTTCTCATCAGTTGGTCTGATGATAGCTGGTTAGTAAATATCACTAATTCATTAATTATTCCAGAATAATTTGTCTCAATATTTTAATATTTGATTCAGTCCCTGATTCCCTCATCTGCACTTTCTTAGTCATATTGAAGAAGAAAAACGACAAACTTTACTGGTCAGTCTGAGAAGGCCTTCAACTCTGTGAGCTGGAGGTTTGCACAGAAAGCTCATGAATGGAATTAGTACATGATATAATAACCCAATTGCCTGGACCAAGATAAATGGAAATCTACCGGATGCTATTAAACCAGAGAGGCCACGAAGCCGGGCTGTGGAACATCACTGTTGCTTTTTGCACTTTACTTTGAACCTCTTGCCCAGTGGATCAGACAGACTAAGGAGGTTAGAGGTGTCCCCATAGATGGAGAACACCTTGTACCTCTCTGCTCAGATTAGGTCATGACTGGATTTGTGCAATCAAAGCTATTGTTCCAGAACACTGAACTGTCTTTGTTCAGTCACCCTCCTTTTTATGCAATTTTGGCCAATAATGATGCGGGAACATTCATGAACATGCCAAAAGCATGGATAAATTTTAATTTAACATCTGGAACCTTCCACCTCTGACTCCCACCAGTGTTCTTACAGGACTAACTGAAGTCTACTGAAGATGCCTCAGAGCCAACTGACTGCCTGCTTAGGGCCCCGGTCACCAGTAGGGGGCCCCCAAGAGCAGTTACCTTTTTAAAAAAACATTTGTAAACTTTTATTATTAAAATTAGATTACATGTGTTGCATGTTTAAGTGATGATCCATGTTCAGTCACCAGAACCTGTAGTGGTTCTGCTCCCTCCTGGACATTTTAATCCAACTGGGTGAGTGTAGCCTATAATAACTAACTAGCTAGTTAAGAACTAGAGATTTTTCTCTCTAACTATTCAAGCTAAGGTCTTGTGTTTGTGTGATGCTGAGCTTTAACTTTGATTAAGGTGACTCTCAAGACTCTGGGTCACTTTTTTGAAAACGTTTTTGACATCAAAAACAACTTGCAAACATTTAGCTAATTACAGGACTGGGCATTTGCTAGCAGACATGTTCACTTCATATGTATAATGTGGCCTGTTAGTATAAGTTATAGATGGAGATGTGCTGTTTACAGTAACTGCTGCAGAGCATAGTCATTTATGTGGGTAAAATGAACAGTCTTTCTATATTGACATGCTCATAATTTATATGAACTTTCCCTAGGAGCACTGTTGAAGTATTTTGGAGGCAGTGACAGGCAGGAAAGTCCACTTCAGACTGAGCTGAGACTCAAGCATCTAACATGGCCGACATGTGTTGTTGTTGTGTCTTGCATCTCCTACAGAGTTCTGTCTCTCAGCCCCACCCACTGGACCTTCTGTCCCTGTTCCTGCTATAACCTCAGCTGGTTTAGCTGCTAAAGTAACAACAAAACAGACTTTGTCATTTCAAGGGTAATATGACATCTAACATGGATGATTTTTGGTTTATTTCGTTTATTTCAGTGGGCCTATGACATCCAATATCTCAGTTAAATAAGTCACTTTAAATATTAAGTGTAAATCAAGAAGAATTCAGATTTTTCTGCTAGTCTGCAAATCTGCTTCAACAACCTTTATTACTGTGGATTACAGTCTAACAGGAAGAAGTCTCACATTGAGTTTTACGAGTGTCTTCATTGTAACAAATTAGAAGATGAAATAAGTTTATAGTAGGTGTGTGAATGATTGATCATTGATCAGTGTTACTGTCATTAGTGGAGGGCCCCAAAAATCAGGTTTTGCTAGGGCGCCTTGGAGGCTTGGGCCGGCCTGAAGCCGTGGCTACAGCTCTCCATGCTGCGTTGTCCCACCTGGAGCAGCAGGCAGGCTCTTCATAGACTTTAGCTCTGCTTTTATACTGTCCTCCCCATAGACTGGTGTCCAGACTGGTAGATGTGGGCCTTCCACACCTGCAGTCACAGGCTCAGAGTGGACCATCACATCTCCACCCACCCAGGCTCAGCACCAGCTCTCCACAGGGCTGTGTGCTGAGACCCTGCTCTACAGCCTCTACACTAACCACTGGGCCCCGCCAACCAGAGCAACACCATCGTCAGATTGGCTGATGACACAACAGTGGTGGAGCTCATCTCTGGGGAGGATGAGTCTGCTTCCAGGGAAGAGGTGGATCAGGTGACAGTGTGGTGCAGAGACAACAACACTGCCATGACTGAAGAGCTTATTGTGCGCTTCAGGAAGAAGAAAAAGGACATCCATCCTTTATTCGTAGGTGGGAACTGTGTGGAGAGAGTGTCGGACTTCCATCTTCTGGGAGTGTACGTCAGAGAGGACCTGTCCTGGGGCACGAGCACAGCTGAGCTCGTGAAGAAGGCCCAGCAGAGACTTTACTTCCTGAGGGTCCTCAGGAAGAACAACATCCCCAGAAGCTGCTGCTGTCCTTCTATCTAGCTGCACAGAGGGAAGTGCTCCAGGGGTCATAAAGGTTGTTCTCATCGGCTGTTCTCTCCCCCTCTAAAGATAAAGATAAACGTTATTGATCCCACACTGGGGACAGTTCACCGTTACACCAGCTCCACAAACAAGTGTAAAGTGAGTGCAAGAATATCTTAGAAACACACAGAGCAACATTACAAGACAAAACATTATGTACAGAAGATGATTTTAAAGAAGACTATATACACAGGATGAGGTAGGAACGGTTATTGCATATAGGGGGATGGGTTTGTAGGAGTAAACAGTGCAGCAGTACCAGAGGTGGACCAGTGAGGTTATAATGCAACATTGTGAAGTCTGACTGATGCTGAAATAAAGGACCTGCAAACGCTCCTTCTTACGCTTTGGGTGTGGCTGAACGTACTGCTTAGAGGTCACAGTCTGATGCAGAGGGTAAGAGGTGCTTAGTATGATAGCAGACAGTCTGGCCAATGCCCTCCTCTCTCCCACCACCTCAGTGGAGTCCAGGGGCAGCCACAGACTGAGCTGACTCTTGTTATCAGTCTGTTCTCATCCCGCTCAGAGCAACCCCGTCCCCAGCACAACACTGCATAGGAGACCACCGATGCTCTCACAGTGTCGTAGAACGTCCTCAGCAAAGTCCTCAGCACTGATTCAGGTTTGCACTTGATTTCCATTGTACGCTACAATGACAACAAGGATATATTCTATATTCTAGCTCTGTTAAGACAGAATTTAAACATCAAACTGAGACTAATGAGATAGGGCGCCTATGAGCCTGATTTAAACCTGATCAAATGGTTGCGAGATTTAAGCCTTGGACAGATGAAGAATAACAACGTTTTAAACAATTAAAAGATTTTCAAACTTTGAGAAAGGAACATGCTTTGGGGAGACAAGGCTTTTATAGATACCACTGCGGGATAATTTTGACCAAATGGTTGGAGATAACCCACCAGATATGGAAGACCAGTGCTGAAAGAACTCATCAAAGGCTAACAGAGGCATAATGTCCAGATGAGGGTTCCCACTCCACAGAGTAAAACACATGGAAAAGGAAGGTAATTGAGACTTAGATGGAGGAATGGTACAGCTTTAGTGACTTTCAGTGGAAATGCACCAACTCACACACATGGAGAGAATGTGGATGGAGGTGCTTCATTAGCAGAAAGCTCATCTTACAGGACAGAGCTGCTGACCACTGGCATGTTTCTAGGGAATGTCCAGCAATAAAATGCTTCTGGACAGAGATACACAAAATACTATAAGGAATATCTAAAATTAAAGTACCTTTTCAATTTAATCTTGCTGATTTTCAATCTGGACATTCCCACAAACATTTATTTAGTGTTTTGATATCTGCTGGCAAAAAGCCTCACCAGGCCCTGGCTGGGCCCGACCCCCCTACAGCAGAGGAATGGACAGATATACATGTATTCATACCTTCCCATTAAAGAAGGAAACAACAGCTGTCGCTGAAATATGGTGACATTGACAAAAGTAATAATAAATAAAAGTTTAATGAAAATCATGACATTGCTTTTGAATTGTGGTTCAACAGACATATTAAAAACAAAAAACAAAAAGCAAAAAAACAGGGTGCCGCTATAGCTCACCTGGTTGAGCTGGCGTCCCATGTACAGGGCTACAGTCCCGATGTGGAGGTCATGAGTTTGAATCCCATCTTGTCTTATATTCTAGGTTCTTTAAAGTAGCCACCTTTTGCTTTGATTACTGCTTCGCACACTCTTGGCATTCTCTTGATGAGCTTCAAGAGGTAGTCACCTGAAATGGTCTTCCAACAGTATTGAAGGAGTTCCCAGAGATGCTTAGCACTTGGTGGCCCTTTTGCCTTCACTCTACGGTCCAGCTCACCCCAAACCATCTCGATTGGGTTCAGGTCCGGTGACTGTGGAGGCCAGGTCATCTGGCACAGCACCCCATCACTCTCCTTCTTGGTCAAATAGCCCTTACACAGCCTGGAGGTGTGTTTGGGGTCATTGTCCTGTTGAAAAATAAATGATGGTCCAACTAAACGCAAACCGGATGGAATAGCATGCCGCTGCAAGATGCTGTGGTAGCCATGCTGGTTCAGTATGCCTTCAATTTTGAATAAATCCCCAACAGTGTCAGCAGCAAAGCACCCCCACACCATCACACCTCCTCCTCCATGCTTCACGGTGGGAACCAGGCATGTAGAGTCCATCCGTTCACCTTTTCTGCGTCGCACAAGGACACAGTGGTTGGAACCAAAGATCTCAAATTTGGACTCATAAGACCAAAGCACAGATTTCCACTGTTCTAATGTCCATTCCTTGTGTTCTTTAGCCCAAACAAGTCTCTTCTGCTTGTTGCCTGTCCTTAGCAGTGGCTTCCTAGCAGCTATTCTACCATGAAGGCCTGATTCACACAGTCTCCTCTTAACAGTTGTTCTAGAGATGTGTCTGCTGCTAGAACTCTGTGTGGCATTGAGCTGCTGTTAACCTGCGATTTCTGAGGCTGGTGACTCGGATGAACTTATCCTCCACAGCAGAGGTGACTCTTGGTCTTCCTTTCCTGGGGCGGTCCTCATGTGAGCCAGTTTCTTTATAGCGCTTGATGGTTTTTGCGACTGCACTTGAGGACACTTTCAAAGTTTTCCCAATTTTTCGGACTGACTGACCTTCATGTCTTAAAGAAATGATGGCCACTCGTTTTTCTTTACTTAGCTGCTTTTTTCTTGCCATAGTACAAATTCTAACAGTCTATTCAGTAGGACTATGAGCTGTGTATCCACCTGACTTCTGCACAACACAACTGAGGGTCCCAACCCCATTTATAAGGCAAGAAATCCCACTTATTAAACCTGACAGGGCACAGCTGTGAAGTGAAAACCATTTCAGGTGACTACCTCTTGAAGCTCATCAAGAGATCACCGTGCTGTTATCAGGCAAAGCAGTAATCACAGCAAAAGGTGGCTACTTTGAGGAAACTAGAATATAAGGCGCATTTTCAGTTGTTTTACACTTTTTTGTTAAGTATATATTTCCACATGTGTTAATTCATAGTTTTGATGCCTTCAGTCATCAGACCACCACCCAGTGTCAGGTTTATGCCACAGCTGCCCTAAATTAACAGCATTAGTACTTACCAACATAATTTCCTACGTTTCTGTAATAGTGAATACACCAGTATGTAGAAGAGCTTTGCCCAAATAATGTTTTTAATGCTAAAATATGAATTTTCAGATTTACTGTTTTACAAAAAAAATGCAAAAATAATAAAGAAACAATAATGTGCTTTACTAACATGTCAGATTACAGTTATTTATTTTCATTCTTGAACAGAAACATTAGTTTTAGTGGTTGAATGTGATGCTTGATTCATGTCTGACTCCTCAGAGAAGCCCAGGGGCTCAGATTTACGAATGAAAAGGTGGATTCAGTTTGAAATTCCTTATTCCTGTTTAAAATGGTAAAATGTGAAGAGCTGAGTGGCATTAAAGCACTTCATGATGCTGGATGGTCCCTGAGACAAACAGTGAAAGAGGCAGGAAATGAAAGATAACTGAAGCAGATGTGGACACCTCAAGACTTGATTTGGGACAGGCTCGGCCCCCCACGACCCTAGTGAGGATTAAGGTGTACAGACAATGGATGGATGTCCTCAGCAGGCCATTGTGAGCTATAGAAAATGTAAAAAATAAAACAAACAAAAACATATTGAAGGAAACACTATGCAGCTCTTTTTGATCTTTCACATGTTTTTGATGCTTGCTTCTAAAAAGATTTTACAGAACTGGTTTTAATGGTTTAAGAGCGACCTTGGACCATGAACAGAAAGCATTAGTGTTGGCTCTGGGAAAGTTTGTGAAAGTTGCAAAAGGTGTCCCACAAGGCCCATTCCTAGAGTCTGTGTTTGTTGCTGTTTTTAAATGCCCTTGTCTCCCCTGTGTCTGGTTGAAATGTGTTCTGCTCTGTTTGCTGCTATTCACAATAAAATATGGAATGGTAGAGAAGGAGAATGATGTCCACATTCTTCAGGAAAACCCAAAATCATCAGCCAGAAATTTGAATCTTTGACACAGTTGGACGTTTAAACAAGACAGTGATCCCCAAAACACATTAAAAAAAATAAAAAGAAGAAGAAGAAGAAAAGAGACATAATTTAGGCTGGAACTCAGGTCTGAGACCCAAAGTCCTGATCCCAGCCCTGTGGAGAAGCTGTGGGCTCAAGCAACACTTTAATGTCAGAAAACACTGTGGGGATTGTGTCAGGAGGGCTCAGATCCAACCCGAATCTTGCAGAACCCTGTGGTTGCTACCAGCTATGCATTAAGCGTCTCTCTGGTGTTTTTGGACAAATGTTGTTGCAGAAATGTGGAAAAATCCTTCCCGACATCAAACCTAAACACTCTGATTGCTGCTTTATCACTTCACTAACTCTGCCTTTTGTTTTTTGAGTCTTCCTACATCTTGTGTTTCTTTCTCCGGTCCGTAAGTAACGGACCAGTCTGTGAACGCGCCTTCCAGGTGCGCGACACCTGCTCCGTCCTGAGCGCGGTCCGGTCCGGTTTTGCTCCAGCAGTGGCTCACTTTCTCCCAGATGCCCGCAGCTGGCGCTGCTGCTCCGGAGAGCGGCGGTAGAGTCCCGGTTCACGGCGGGGCTGCCCCGTACGCACGAGCCAATAAGAAGCCTCCGCTGTTCGTGCGTGAGTGCGGGCTCGCGCGTGCCTCGGAGCTGCAGCCAGTCAGACGCCAGCTGAGGAGCGCGAGCCCCCGGTGCCCTGCCGCCTGTCTAACGGTCGCTCCGTGAACTGGGGACGGTGACGAGCTGCGGACCGGTTCCGAAGACTTGCTTCTACGTGGACAGCACGCCTGTGACCCGGAGTCCCGGGACGCTGACCGGTGACCGGTGACCGGGGACCAGGAGCATCGCCAGCTGCTGGGACGCTTCAGCACACAAGTTGGGGGAGTTCAGGAAAGTCCTCGGATTCGGTGTGTGGACGGACCGGGCTCGGCTGGACGCGGATCATGTTCGTCATTTGTGTTTATTTGTGATCTGAGGAGGGAGGTCCTGATAAACTATAAAACAGTGAGTGTCAGCCTTCAGACCTTTTCAGAACCGGTCCCTGTGTGGAGCCTGGCTGCATGTGGACGTCACTGGGCTCAGTAGAAGTCCAGTTCATGTGCTGTCCTGTTCGCTGCTGCTCTGTGTGCAGCAGCTGCAGTGCAGCGGATCAGAGCTCAGTGTGTGTCAGTGGGTTATTCACAGTGCTGCTATGCAGACTGGCTGGAGCCAGGCTCACACAGCTCCACAGCAACCCCAGCTCTGAGGCCAGGCCTGGACGGCTCTCACAAAAAGAAACCTTCACAGCTCAGGAAAAGCCTGTGCACCACTAAATCCAGAGGGACAGCCTGTATGGAGGAGCAGCTGCTCCACAGCTTTGTGTACCGACGTGGGTTATTGAAGATGCTGCTATGCAGACAGAGTGGAGCCACAGAAACCTGCTGGTGGAATTACAGTAACACACATGGCTGCACAGCCTGCCTTCAGTGCAGCTGAACCGCTCGTGTGGCATTGTTAGCAGCAGAGCTTTGTCTGCTAGGGTGTTGCTGTTGTGATTAGATTTAGTGAATACAGCTCAGAGCTTGTCCCAAAAGTTGTGTCTGACTCTTAGAAGTGCCGTTTGTCATCTGATAGGGATGGAGATCATGTGTCCAGGAGGTGGAAGCTCATTGAGCACATTCTCAGTCTGACATCGTTTAGGTTTATGGAACTGAAACGTGTTGTTGGACAGTTTTAGAGACTTTGTCACTGACGGATTCAGCTTCACCTCCGTTTCAGTTGTTTTAATTCTCACATTGGTGCAAAATGAAGGATCCTCTTCCTCTGAATAACACCTGGACCAGAGCCATGAACAAGGATCCTGTCCTGGTCTCTGTGCCAGGCACAAACAAGAAGTTCAAGAGAAAGTCCCGTGAGCCTAAAAGGCTTTTCATCAGCCCCGAGGCCGAGAGAATGAAAACATGCCCAGTGGACGTGTCAGACATGTACACGGTGGACGATGCTCCTATGGAGGTGTGTAACGTCAGCAAGCTGGCGCCGCTCCAGAGGCAGCTGATCATGTCGCAGGAGGCGATGGCCAGTACCACAGGGGTTCTGTCAGGACTCCAGGAGGACGGTGTGGCTCCAGCTCAGAGCGGTGCCATAGACATGAGGATTGGCATTAATGGACCTGCTGTCCTGTCCAAACTGTCCCAGGTACCCATCTCTCCGTTCTCCAACCCAGAGATCTCCCACTGGCCCACCTCCATCTCTCAGCCCCTCTCCAACAGACACAAACTGGGTCTCCACCCCACCTTCTCTCTGTCAGCACCGAGCAGCAGCAGCCACTCACCCAGCCAGCAGGCCTTCTCCTTGGAGGCCTCTCTGTCAGGCCAGTCAGCAGCTCTGTCTGTCCCCAGAACCTCCCAGTCTTCCCAGTCCTCCCAGTGCCACGAACCTGTGGAGCCCCAGGTCCCTTCACCCAAGGTAAATATGTGGATGGGCACAGAAAAGAGAGATCTGTCATAAGATTTACCTCAAAGAAAAATCAATGTGTAGAAATTAAAACTGAAGTGATTCTAATTAACAAGTCTATCAACAGAAAACTATTCAAGTTTGCTCACAGAGTGATTGAATGTTTTAATTAACACTTGTTCTATTTTCTCTGTTGTGAAGATTTGCTCCATTTGTCTCTTTTGATTGTAAAATGCATTTCTGGTGTTGAAATGTTGGTTCAGCAAAACAACACGTTAAGATGCCACCTGTGTATATTAGTGTAGTGTATATAGTGTATGTAGTGTATAGAGTGTGTATAATGTATATAGTGTGTATAGTGTATATAGTGTATATAGTGTATAGAGTGTATATAGTGTATGTAGTGCACTGTGTACAGTTGACTGGATTAATGCACAATGAATCAGCAGATTGATCAGAAATAACAAAAAAATAATGATAATTTATGGATGTGTAGAAGAATGAAGTGCTGCCTTCTAGAGAGCGAGTTCAATACGAGTGTGCTTCGTTTAAAAACGTTGACAGAAGATGCCCACATGATGAGGGCATCTTCTAACCAGGTCTATATGTGAGCCTGTCCTGTCTCCTGCTCCCAGGAGTCTCCCAGGAAGCGGGTTGGGGTCACTGCTGATGGACCTGGGCGTTTTCCAGAGGTCAAGGCTATCCAGCAGACCAGGAGGCTTCTAGCTAATGCCAGGGAGAGGACCCGGGTCCACACCATCAGTGCTGCATTCGAAGCCCTGAGGAAACAGGTCAGACTTCAAACACACACTCCAATACTTTGACTGTGTGTGCATGTATTCAGTCCAACGCCACTCTGGATATAAGGCAATATGTGTGTGTGTGTGTGTGTGTGTGTGTATGTATATATAGCTACATCACACAGAACTGTATGTACTGTCTTCTGAAAGGCAGAAGTAAACGTCTACATCTGAACATTTTACACCCTGAAGTTTATACCAACCACAAAACACAATAAAAGGAATGTCGCAAGTGAGGTGGCACAGTGGCTCGGTGGTTAGCACCCTTCTTTCCTATCTTTTTTGTGTAAACACAGCTTGCAGTTCAGCTGAAAGTCTCCTCAGTGTTTGTCATGTGACTGTTGGTCACAGCTGGTCACTGATGTTTTCACAGTTGTGTTTATGAGGACAGAAGTTTGTCATTTTGTGTTATCTGGTCTGAGCAATTTTTTACAAAAGACATGTAAAATAAAGTGACTTTGAGGAAGTATGATTTTTTTTTAACATATATTTGATTAACATTAACTGTACATCACATGCAAGATGAAAATCCAATGATGCTTTCTGTTTGTAGACTTTATAGCTCCTACAAATGGTGTAATTTCAGTGATTTTACAGGAAGATCATGTCTTTCAACAAATTTAAGAAGGTAAAAGGAGCTGGACATGGATAAATAAGTCCTGTAATTTATTGTTTATAGAAATAAGAAATTGAGAGTGGAAGTGGGATGTAATTAACAACATAGGTCATCTCAGGGCTAGCTTTTGGTCAACAATGGCATCTGTGATAGTGACACGTAGCTGTATCAGGCCACACTACACAGACAGACTGAGACACCAGGGTCGTGTCCGAAATCATCCACTCACTCCCTACTCACTATATAGGGAACACTATATAGTGAACTATATGTGGACCACTATATAGTGAACTATGTAGGGAACACCTTTGCAAACTAACATTTCGAACTACTAGGACAATTAAATATTTCGGTCGCTAGTCGGGATTTGTGCCGTAGCAGCGTAGTGCAAACATGTCACATTTACAGTTTATTGCATAGCCAAGAAACGGGTAAAATGAAACATAACAAAACATAAATGGGATATTACTTACATTTTAATAACATGTTTTCGTCTAGTTTCCATTTCCTTTCGCACAATCCATGATGGTCCATATTTCTGATTAGTGACCATCAGCTGGACGCTACTTCTCACGGTGCATTGTGGGATAGGTTGAGTGACTATACAGGGTGTAACAGCTGTAACTTAACATTCGCACAGCCCTACAAAATCCCGAACACCCTATATAGTGCACTTTGTAGGGTATGAGGGTGATTTCAGACACAGCCCATATTTATAAGTTTTGTTTTCCAACAGTGGCCAGGTGCACCTGTGGCCATTCTCTAATTAACTTGGAGATCATTATCTCCAGTGGGCCAATTGGCAGCTAGGATGCTGTGTGGTGTTGTCTTGCCCTAGCTTGTTTGATGCTTTGCAGACTTCAGATTGGCTTCATCATTTTTGGGAGACACTCGCTTTAGGTTGAATTATTTTTGGTTTGATTATAAATAAATTGCTTTTTGTGATATAATGAGTTTCCTATTTCTGTAACCCAGTTTTCATAACATGACTTGTTACTCCTCTTGTCCCCTAGTTTCACAGGGACAAAACATATTTGGGGGCTTGTCCGGGGTTTTTGGGAAACTGATCCTCGGTTTGATTATTGTGTAGCATTCTGTATAGTAGTTGTCGCGGTGAGTGTTTGTTTTCTTGTTTAGCCTTCACCATGTACACAGCTTCCTCTGACAGACAGCGAGTGTCCAGCTAAACTGCTGCAGCTTTTTCATCAGGCCCCTTTTCTTATTTTGGGGTTTTTCCTTGGCAGGGTTCAGTCCCTGGTTGGGGTAGGCGTTCAAGGCCTCGGCTGAGTTCAGCCTCTCAAGTTGCCTCGAGCCCGTAACACTCCAGATGACAGACAGGTATGAAGAGTGAGGCAGTGGTGGTGTTAGTCTACACGTTGTTGGTGTGGATCATAAGTAGTAGTTGGTGTGCAGTGACAGTTTGTTGAGTCGTCTCCAGGCTCCATCTTAAATGCTCACATTAAAATCAGTTTGGCTCGTCTTCAGTTGGAGAAAGGGGAATGAGAGTGAGAGTTTGAGCTTCGCAAGAAAGTCTAGCTCAGGAAGGTGAAGGCAGAGACGGCTGTTAGGATCCACCAGCTCGAACTGTAGAAAGTCACAGTGAGTTCCCCACTGCGGGTAAATTCCTCAGACTCCACATAATTTGATGTGAGTAAGAACATTTCTTTAGTTCCTACATTCGGCGAGATGGAAGTTAAGGTATATTTTGGTGCATTTGTGAGAATAGCTGTTTCATTATGTTGGCCTGGAGGTGTGTGGGCCCTATTGTTAGAGCTGACAGGGAAAGCTATTCTTGTTCTGTGGAAGATGGTCTGGTCTATGAGAAGATCCAAGGTGCTTGTTTGCATGCATACGAGTTGGTCCCAGAAGCATATAGACAGTGTTTCTGCAGCCTTAACAAATCGGCCAACCAGAGTTACCTGGTCTTTCCTAGGGAGGAAGGGATGGTCTTTCACAGATGATGTGCAGCTTGTAAAGCTGATGATCTAGTGTCTGTCCATGAGCTGGTGTTGTAGGAGGAGAGTATTAGCATTTATTTAAACCAACAGGTTACTGCAGGTTACTGACAGACTGCTACACTCGCAGATGAGTTTACTCGAATGACAAGAGTTCATGAATTGATTTGTATCACCTGGAATGCAGGTGACTTAACGTTTTGTTTTGATCTGGGGTTGCCTCTGACCATCTGTTTGTTCCACTCTCATGAACACCTCAAAATGAGTGCAAATGTTCATCTGGACAAAAGTGAAAAGGTCTGCCCTGAGCCTGATACTGAGTCAGCTAATGTCAGCCTTGTTCCTGAGTCGCCTGACATCTGTCCTGTTCCTGAGTCGGTTTCTGGGCTTGTTGAGTCTGTGCTGTTCCTGAGTCTGTTGATGCTTTCCCTGTGTCTGAGCCTGTTCCTGAGTCAGTTGACGTCTACCCTGTTCCTGAGTGTGTTTCTGAGTCGGCAGATACAAACACTGCTTCTGGGGTGCCTCAGGCCTCTTGCGGGAGCCGACATCCCTTCAGCCCCTGGTTACTGATGCTCAGACTGTTCCTGAGTAAGCCTACAGTGTCCACCATCACAAGCTGCCTTGCCCCCAGAGGGGTTCTCCCTTCACTGCAGTCCGCCTGGCCTGCCTCAAAGGGGAGTTTTCCTCATGCCCAGCTTTCTGAGTGTCTCTGCATGGCCACTCTGCTTCTGGTCCGTCCTCCTGAGCAGCTCTGGCTGCCTGACACTGGGACATTGTCCTCCAGGACTGTCTGGGCTGTCTGGCCTGCCATTAGGTCATTGTCCAGAGTGGTTCCACCTGTCTACCACCATTACCTGCTTGTTCTTGTTGTTAGGTTTTGTCAGCAGCACCAGGTTAACATTTGCACATACAGCTTATTTCGCCTCATTTTCAGAACAACTACTTTACGTTGCAGCTGCCAGCTTTGGGTTGCACTGTAGTTCATGTCCTTCCTTTGCTCTCCCTCTCCAGGTTCCATGTTACTCATATGGACAGAAGCTCTCCAAGCTGGCTATACTACGTATTGCCTGCAACTATATCCTGTCTCTGGCTCAGCTTGCCGAGCTGGACTACAGCTCCGACCACAGCAGTCTGAACTTCTCTCAGTGTGTGGAACAGTGCACCAGGACCCTGCAGGCTGAGGGCAGAAGCAAGAAGAGGAAGGTAAGGCTGCATCTACTGTCTGTACAACAGAAACTGTCAGGTTGTGGCTGGGGGCCCAGCTACAGAGAGATGAGAGGCACCCTGTTCTTCTGATTATCTCTTGATTTCATTTTAAATGAATACAAACACAATGCACTTATGTTTGTCTGTTATTCTCATAAATCCAGTATACACCAATCAGCCATTGCTAGGTTAAGTGAATTACATTGATCTACTCATTCCAGTGTGATTTTCTGGGTTCTGCCACATCCTACCATCCAACCATAGTTTTAGATCAAGCATGCATCCCTATGACAATGACACACCTCTACGTCCTTCCTCTAGCAGGACAATGTGCCCAACTACACTCAGGTTTGGCTCAAGAACACAACGAAGAGCCGAAAGTGCTGACCTGGCCTCTGCTCACGGGAAGCACCAAAACAAGGCTGATGCACACAAATCCTACTAGATCCACTGCTCGTGTCTCAATGACAGACACCACAGGATGTCCCAGAGGTCCCTGCCTTATATATATGTATAGAGCACCTTTCTACCTTAGTGCTACTCAAAGCGCTTTACAGTGTGTTTCTCATTCACACATTCATACACCAATGGTGACAGAGCTGCCATGCAAGGTGCTGCCTGCCATTGGGAGCAGCATCAGGTTCAGCGTCTTGCCCAAGGACACTTCGACTGTGGAGGGGATTGAACCACCAAACTTGCAATCAGAGGACAACCGCTCTACCACCCTGCAGTGTTGTGGCCATCATGCACACAGCACTAATTCCATCAGTACAGCAACAGAGTCACGTCATGCTCACCACTCTGCTCAGAACATGATTGGGTTATATCTGAAACTCATCTGACAGGAATCAATCAGTGGATGAGAACAACATTAAAGTAGGGCAGAGACACAAACTTTGAGACTGTTGTTGTTATAACAGAGTTAACGTTGCGAAAATGTCATGTAATCATTATAGTGCAGGTAATTCATCCTCTCATTGCGTTTCTATTGAACCTCTGAGGGTGCTCTTACAGTTTTTTAATTTGCCTGTCTGTGCTGGGCAGCCCTTAGTATTCTGACAACTATTCGAGCACAGAAGTCCCCTCTCAACCACCCTCAGCCCTGTTTCCTATGAACAGTCCATGTTTTATGAGAACATTTGTTCAAGAATTCCTACATTTCTGAATGGATTTTCTCAACACTGACACACACCAGTAACACCTCCTCAGCATCAGCTGTTCAGGCTTCATAATTTCACACATATATATATATATATATATATATATATACATTACAAAAACCTCTTGAAAAGTGTTTTTTATTTAGGATCATTTGAGATGAAAACATAACTGAATATGCATAAAACATGATAGAGGTGCCCTCTGGTATTCATGGTAGTGGGAGTTTAAGTGCTCTTATAAATTACAAGCATCAGAAACACATCAAACACATCAAACTCTAAACATATAGCTTGTGTAAGAAAACTTCTGTTTTCCACTTGAGATGTGCACACATGATGAAGGGAAGCAGTTTTCTACTGAGTGTGGACACAATCACAGAATCCCTGGTTGTCGGCACATTGCGTTACTGCTGCTCACAGCACTGGTATCAAACAGTTGTTTAGCAGACGATGCATCAGGACATAAACAGTCTTTACTGTTACACACCAGCTAGTTAGCTTTAGCTTCTTCAAGAGAGTGGAGACGCTGCTTCCCCATATAAAGGGCTGTGTGTTTGTGCGTTTGTGTGTGTTAAAGCAATCATCGGTCATTTAAACAGTTGACATATCACAAAAACACACGATATTTGTGATATTTGACAACATCAGACAAGCACATCGACCCAAACCTGTCTGGTTCTTAGTCTGATTCTAAATCTGGTTCTGAACGTGTTGCTTCAGAGTGAATGAAAGGTTTCGTTGGTGAGACTCAGTCACAGTGAGAAGCTTCACAACTTAATGCTGCTCTTTTAGCTGAAAGCTTCTTTCCTCGCTGCCTGGCTGTTTCTCAGTGTGTGCATGCCTCTGTGTGTGTGTGTGTGTGTGTGTGTGTGAGTTCCCTGAAAGTCCCAGACGCCAGATGTTTAGAGTGGAGGGGAAGTGGAGCTGGCGCCATGAAGGGCAGAGGGCAGTGAGAAGGCACGCGAACTGAAACCACACACACACACACACACACACACACACACACCTACACACACACACACACACACACACAACACACACACACACACACACACACACACACACACTCTTGGCACATTCCCCAGCAGTCTCTCCAACACATTCCCCCACTATGCCTCTCCAGGCCATCTGCTCCAACATACTTTGAAACAAGGAGGGGAAAAAACACAGTCATCATCAGGCTGTCAGACAGCAGCAGCTGGTGGAGAGACGGAGGGTGGGGGGTGGAAACCTCCGTCTGCGCACATCGCTAACAGGAAAACAACTTTCTTACTGCATTGTGATTCTGCACCACTGCATGCTTGAGGTCACCAGCAGCGGGACAAACACTGGGTCAGGCTGCAGAAAAATGTGTTCCATGAATATCACAGCTGCTGAACACATCTTGGTCTCAACAATAGAACCACACGTCAGTACTACATGTTAAATCTGCAGCTACTCATCTGAACATTGATGATTTTGCACAGTGGCTTGGTGGTTAGCACCGTCGCCTCACAGCTAGACGGCTGGCGTCCCGGTGAAGACACCCGGGATCTTTCTGCATGGAGTCTCCATGTTCTCTCCGTGCAGCGTGTGTTCTCTTCGGGTTCTCTGGCTTCCCCCCACAGTCTAGAAACATGCTAAGGTTAAATGGTGATTCTAAATTGTCCATAGGTGTGAATGTGAGTGTGCTTGGTTGTCTGTCTCTAAGTGTAGCCCTGTGATAGACTGGTTACCTGTCCAGGTGAACCTGCCTTCACACTGAGTCAGCTGGGATAGACTCCAGCCTCTCACGACCCTAGTGAGGATTAAGGTGTATACATGATGGATGGATGGACATGGACATTTTCCAATAATATGTCAACTGTGTGTAAAAGCTTCTTTTTTATGTCGAAGCTGACCAAATATCCAGTCTGTATCTGTCATACAAAGCTGCTGATAGTATTAGGAATCCTCAGAGTCCAGATACAGCAGTGAAAAGATGCTCTGAATTTGTTTCACCACAGAAAACTGTTATGAGCCACCCAGGTACATTTCAGTCATTAAAAACTTTTAGTTTTTATGCATGTTTTTTGGCAATAGTGAAAGAGTCAGCAGTCTTGTGTGCTCTGAAACACTGCAGGCATACCTGTAGAGGGCACTGATTGACCCCACCTGACTAACTAGGCCACTGGATCTCAGTCTGTTTTAACCAATCGAAGCAGGTAGGATGTAAATCACAAATGTGCGCTTTAGATATGTGCACTGTTTTTGTCCCTTTCCAACTGTAGACTAAGTTACCTGCACTTATTCGAATGTCATTCATTGGTGGACACACACTGAGCACAGTGTCAGGAGGATGAAGACTCGTTTTAACTCCTCTCCCACCAAATGATGCAGGCTAATCTCCAGCCTATTATGCAAAATATAGAATCCCTGTTACTTAACTGGAGTAAGATGAATTTATCACTACTTGGTAGGGTTAACTTAATAAAAATAATTATAATGCCAAAGGTCAACTATATAACTTATATGTTGCCACTCTCCCTTCCTGCTAAACTTTTAAAAGAATATGATAAATGCATTGAATCATTTGTATGGCAAGGGAAAAGTTAAGTTGTATGCCGCAATGGATGATGGGGGACTAGGCCTTCCAAGATTAGATTGGTATCATTGTTCTTTCTCACTTGCACAACTGTCAAAAAGTAACTTACCCCCTCATAGAGCCCCTGTCTGGGTGCAAATTGAAAAAGAATACTTGATCCTTCTTGCATTGAATCTTTTGGGACCCAGACGGGTCGGTCTCTACCAGTTCATGATCCTGTGTTAGAATACTCAAGGGAAAATTGGAAAATGGCACACTGTCTTGTTAAACATAATCTGTCATTAACATCTGAAGCATCAATATGGTTCAACGCTAAGATTAGAATAGCTAAAAGCCATTCTGCTGGTACCAGTGGACTAAAGCAGGGATCCTGCAGCTGGGGGATCTATATGATAAAGGTCACATGGTTACCTTTGAATATCCATCCATCCATCCATTATCTATACACCGTTTAATCCTCACTAGGGTCATGGGGGGCTGGAGTCTATCCCAGCTGACTCAGGGCGAAGGCAGGGGACACCCTGGACAGGTCGCTGGTCTATCACAGGGCTACACTTAGAGACAGACAACCAAGCACACTCACATTCACACCTACGGACAATTTAGAATCTCCAATTAACCTCAACATGCTTTTGGACTGTGTGGGAGGAAGCCGGAGAACCCGGAGAAAACCCACGCTGCACGAGGAGAACATGCAAACTCCACACAGGAAAGATCCCGGTGCCCCCACCGGGACACGAACCAGCAACCTTCTTGCTGTGAGGCAACAGTGCTAACCAACTGCGCCACCTTGCAGCCCACCTTTGAATATATGAAGTAAAATTACAATCTGACAAACAAAGACTTCTGGAAATATCTCCAACTCCGGCATTGTTTCCTTTCAGTCATGAGTTGTGGACCTGACCCACCTACTGAAATTCAAAGTTTGCTACAATATGTCAGCTGTAAAAAAGGTGGTGCATTAATTTTTTTACAATCTCATCAGGGGTGCCAATGCACCGAAGCTTGAGAGTCGAAAATTGGCTTGGGAGAAGGATATCGGAGAATAGATTTAAGAACAACAGTGGAATGAAGTCATATCTTGCTGGCACATTCCTGCTCGAGAGGTCCAGGCACAGATCACCAATTATAAAATCCTTCACCGATCCTACTGGACCTCAAGCAGAATGGCTACACTCAAACTAAGAAATGATGATCTATGTTGCTGTCACAACGAAACTGGAACACTGGTTCACATGTTGTATGCTTGTGATATGGTTAGGGATTTTTGGGAT